CCCCCCCCTTCGCTCGACGGCAATTTTGGAGGAAAAAGTGGGCGGAGTTTCGTGGGTTGAGTGGTACCCCCAGAACCCCAGAATTAAATACTATAGATAGGATGATGGTGGTCGAGGTGGTCGAGGTGTGAAAAGGGGGTCGTATCAAGTCCACCTTGGGGGAGGGGGGTCGTAAAAATTTTTGAAAAAGTAACAACGATAGGACCGACCCTGGTTTCAAGTCATCGTGTAACGTATCTATAATAGCCACCGCTTAGAGCGCCCCCTAGGCCGCTTTCCGGGCACGTCAAGGTCGTTGACACTTACGGACACTGCCATCGTTCGCGCGAAGAACATGCCGTACCATCAAAGACAGGCTTCACATCTTGCCGAGAATCGGAGCCACCACATATTCATTTGCCCGAAAGACCAGGCTGCCGTCAGACGCAATTGCTGATCCAAGATACTTGAATGATGTTGTACGTGTGAGCTTCAGTACCATTGATCTTAATAGAGCCTAACTCACTCGAATCGGTGGTCAAGTACTCAGTTTTTGAAGTTTGAGCTGAGCCCGAACATAGCAAGACGGTTGGACCAGGTTTGCTTGAGCATTATCATAACTACAAGGATGATTTCCTGATTAATAGATTGCTGTAACAAAGTTGAGTCTGAGTGCTGTAACAAAGTCTGCGTAAAAGAGGTTTTCTCTGTGCTGCATCCTCACATCGAGTCCAAAGTAGAAGATGTGCGTCTCCAAGAAGAGTATGCGTTCTGCTGATTTGGGCGTAATTTTATGTTCCTTGTTTCAAGACAGATGCGCCCACTCCCAAATTTGGTTTTTCTAACGGAACAATTCTGTCTTTAAAATGCATAATCCTGCCGCATGATTGTGAAATGTCAGAGTATATTTGTTACCGTAGCTGTTTATCGTGCTCGTCCGGCCAAGCGAGGCGTTTTCTATGTATGGCTTTGATGCAACATAACAACAATGTTTTAGATTCTTCATTGGTATTGGGGCCGGCACAGTTGGAGTGATGCGTGCCTATGCGGCCACTGCCAGCACTGTCAAAGACCGCGCTCGTGCAATCTCATCTATTCAGGCTAGTTATGTCATAGGAATGACGATTGGACCTGGAGTTCCAGTGAGTCATTCGTATTTATTCGGTTGTAACGAAAGATCTTGCAGTTTTCGATATTTCAAGTTCAAAGACATTTTTCACAGCTTGCCCAACATTACACATGATTAGAAAGAGCAATTTTTGCTCTATTCAAGGGTATCGTTAGCTTTGCTCAATATTTGCTGCTCCAACTTTTTCGAAGCAACATGCTCATGAAGCAGAATTCACGATTTTGCGCTGTGTAGCGATTGTTCGGACAGCTCGCGCAGGGACGGCGAGAGCCTCGAGGCTGGTAAGGGTTGCCATTGGATGTCGAACCTTGGTAAAAAAAAATAGCTTACACGTTGTCGACGAGCGCACTTTTTCCTTGTCGCGCGCATGGGACGAGGCATGCAAAGCGCCGGTAACACAGGGCAAAACTTATTTTGTAGCTCTGTAAAATCTCGAAATGCACAAAATGCCTTTGACTAGAGTACTCCAGACACATTTAGAAACAAGGGAAGTTGTTAATACTGAATGTTTGATGAAATTTCAGTGACATCGCCTGACATTTTCAAAACTCAGGGCGAGATTGATATAGAATGCGGAATACCACTCAATCTCAATTTATTGTTGATTTGAGGTATCCTCTCTATAGTATTGGTGTTCTAGAAACATTTTGAATCTTCTGGATGCAAAAAACTCCGACTTCCTGCCTGAATGAAGCTTCTGCTTGACTGTGAGCTTGTTCTCGTGATCAAATAAGGTTGAGTCACTTCAAAATCGGAAAAGTCGCAAAAGGAAATCCGCACACTGGGGGGCTAAATAGGTACTTTTGTATTTACCTATGAGTGACACTGTGCCTACTTGACCACCAACGCCACATCGGTTTCAAAAGGCTAGAAATGGGCTTGTAGTGCCGGTAACCATATGACCACATGATATGCACATCTTTTGACATTTTCACTTTGCTGATGGTAGAACTTTGTGGCTGTAATTCAATTGGCAACGCATTTTTGCATTTGATAACTAATACAAGAAAAAGTTCCTGCAATTAGAAAGATCACGGGTTGCAGCCGAGTATAGTAGTATCTTAGGACACTGAAGTAATTGTTGAAATAGAAAAGTCGCGGGTTTCATTTGAGTTTCCTTGCTTACAAGCTGTCGGTCACCATTGACCGACATCGTCGTCAACGTGTTAAGATTCTAGAATCTAATGTGCTTAGGACCTTTGAGGTGGGCGCTATTGAATCCGGTGTGACTGATTTGTAGTTTCTTTCGCCTTCTTTCGTCCAACGAAAACAGCCTATTCCAATGTGGAATGGAATCTAGGCAAGGACCTGCGAACTCCCCTGGTAGTTCAGTTACGACTAGGGTCAACAAAACTCCGCAAATGTGACGCCACGATGACGAGATTGTGTCCTTTGTTACCCGGTCTCCCGCAGGCGCAGCTCTCCAAGCACAAATGAAACTATTATAGTAGGTTAGTATCCTTTGCAGGCTGTCAAAATACTCCGAGCCCTCGACACATATGCCCACTTAAGGCTTTAATAAATTGCCCGACTCTTCCCCGACTGCAGAATTGACCCTGTAAAAATTAATTAACTGGAGCATTGAACTATGCAGCAGAATTATAACCATTTAGACCTTCCGAATCAGCTCCAAATTTTCAACCTTCTAGAGAACCCCTCTAAGATTGGATGCGTATAGCTTGATGGTGGAACGACCTTCGTCGAGTTCACCGCCTCTAAAACTCGAGTACTTTCAGCGGACGAATCGTTCAAACTCATTAAATGTTGGCAAGGAAGAGTAGACTGCAATGGTTTCACTATGAACGCTATTGTTGCACTCAAAAGCAAACCCTGGGATGAAACTGGTGTAAATGGGCTTTTATTAATGCTGACTGAGCTGCGGAATGAATCGAAAGTGGAAAGGAAAGCAAGCGCGATCATAAAAAATGCTAAAATTTAAATCCTAACGGATTTGGTACGATGGCGAGACAGGGCGATCAAAGAAGAAAAAGCATGGAGAGAGCACGCCATTCGAGAAAGCACGCTGATCTCTACATCGATGCGGTGTGGGATGCAGGAAGGGTCGACTGGTTGCAGGCTCGTAATAAATTAGCACCCTAATCGTGCAATTTGGGCAATGAAGCAGCACATTTTATAAAGATACGGGCCCTAAAGATCCCCTCGCGATATCCTTTCCACTAGTAGGGCTAATCCCGGGATTTGCCTCTAAGCCGACGTATGCAGTTTTGAACTTCAGGGTCCGAAACGGCGAGAACTTCCCTTACAAACTGATATATAAACACTTTTGCTCTGCTGGCATCGCAGCAAACAATTCAACAATTTCTATGTTATACGTAAATAAATCTTTATGAGGAAGGAAGCGTTTTGGTTTAAGGTTGCCTTCGCTCCGATCGAGTTTCCTGGATTCGTTTTTGGACCACTCCATTTAGATATGTATACTTCGCCAGCATGGCTGGGTACACTGATCTGTATTGTGTCCTTGGTTTGCGTTTTCATTTTTCTCGAAGAGCATTATGCCGGTATACAAGAAGTCGACAGAGGTGAAGGTCAGTGTATAACTTCTTATTTGTAGAAACAATCTGCTTTTGTTCCACTTTCATCAGAAGAAGCGTGCTTACCCGATTACCTCCCATTCGTTTCCATTTCCTGGAATTCCCTTCCTCAGCAAAGGAATCATATTTCTGAAACGGATTAAATGAAGGAAATAGAATGGTGTGACTAGAAATTTTTTCTGAAACTATTCCTGTAGTGGTTCCTATCTATAGCAAAAACCACTTGCAAAAATCATGCAGTTGGCCTATTGACCAGCACAGATGTGTTGGCTTAGTGCCTTCTGTTAGGCATGTGAGGGATCAATGTCTCAGTCTACGTCGTCGTCTCATTTTTGCAGTACAGAAAACTTTGTCCTTAAATAGAAGAATTTTCAGTTGACTACAATCCACTGCCAAAATTCGATTGGGTTGCCGTCTCTGTCTGTGTTGTGACACAGTTCACACTCATGATTATCATTACGAATCTGGAAACGTGAGTCATTGCACGTACGGGGCTTCATCATAGTTATAGAAGCACATTTTTAGTCACTGGACGAGCGCGATTATTGAGTGCAGCTGTGGTGGTTCACTAGTGGACCACATTATCTTATCACCGACTCTTTAAAGCTCCACTCTGAGGCGATCTTTATAAGATGACTTATTCGCATAGTGGAATATATAGGAAATCTGCAGCAAAAGCACAGCAAACAGTGTGAAGCTGGAATTCGTGCTAGCAGAGGAAATTGAGGATTTTCTGCTCCCCGACTGGCTAGGAAAGGTAGAGGTTCAAACGGGTAGGAAATGAAACAGCGGATTAGCTTGAGCACTTGAGATCGCAACTGGAACAAGTAGGCTTTATGATGAAAATTTCGCCGTGTTGGACACGCTCAGCGAGGACGCAACTATTTTCAGTGGTAATGTGTGAAATGCTACGATACGGATGAGTCTTAGCGATGCTCAATGCTGGAAAAGATTCAAGCTCATAATGGGAAACATT